CTAAAACAGTGAATAATTTAGGCAATATAATAAAGGAACTATTTGAACTTGTATCAAGTGCACTTGGTTTTCTAAGCCTCCAGTTCAAAATCTTTAGTAATATATGATAGGAAATAAACATTACAATATGAAGTAACTAATTCAAAGAAAGAGAGAAGTCATTTATCAGACAGAATATTCAAATGTTAGCTTACTAATATAAGGAACTGCAAATGGACTAAACCATCGTAACGAAAATGGACCACCAAAGATCATTTGTAAATTTTTCCAACCATTTCGTCCTGAAAATGCTTGATGAAAACACGTAAATCCAAATTTAAAGAAGGTCTATGCAAATTAGTTTGAAAGACTCATTGTTATATCGGTAATTATGCTATTTATTGATGAATGAACCATTTGAATATATCATTTGAATTTCTGTTGTTCAACGATACTCCACTGCTAAGGAATATCTTCCACTACACTCATAATAAAATTTTTCACAAAATAACATTTCATACAATGCCATTCTTTTGAAGAGGTAATCGACCCTACCTAACCAATAACATATGAGATGATGAAAAATTAGTTTCCATAAATTTCCTCCCAAATATTCCAATAGCTTTACATACCAGAGTTGTATTGTTCATTTTTGAGTGATTCAATGTTAGTCTGGTCGTTGCATATCGAATTGAGCTGAGTGCTGAACATAATAAGTGTGAATATTGCAAAAAGGATAGCTTCAAATAGCAGAAATACAAGTAGAATTGCCGTAACTGGTGGCCCGAATAACGAACAATTTTGCCAATCACCGCCAACACACAGAACAAATTGCCATATTCCCCAATACGCGGCATGTATTGATAACAACGCTATGTACATCTGTGATAATTTTAAGATATTATTAAGCAAGATAATAAAACGAAAACAAATTGAGATAAAATAAAACAACCATAAACTGAGATAAATCACATTTTTTGAGCTTTTAAATATACCTAACAAGATTTACTATTCCGCTTACACTGCCTGAATGCACTTTAAGATTTACAAGCAACGTAGTTTTAACAATCATTAATCTTTGTGATACTAATACTGAAGTTAAATAAAAACTATTCACGAATTACAAGAAAATGGAGAATAGTTTGGAAAACTACAAAGAAAATCTTATACCTATATCATTTCTACATTGTTCAGATAAACAATCTTTGCAAAAGAAAAAGTTCCCGGAAAAATTCATTTTTATTTTTTGGCTTAATATGAACAAACCAGTACCGTGAACAGTACAAAATACTTCTGATTCCCTTCACCAACACAATTGTTTACCCATGGACAATGATGATCCATTCGTCTAACACACCTTCCACATACACTGCAATGATGCGCTCGTTCCGGTTTTACACTGCTGCTGCAATAACCAGTTATTCAATTAATATTTTCCAAAAACATAATTTCATAAATCACCTTCTTGATAAGAAATACAAGTTAGGATGTCAAGATTTTATATTACAAAGATATGCAGTAGAACAAATGTTCCGCGGTACTGCAAATCTCTGATTTTTACTTATTCACAAACTCAGTAAAGAAACTTTTAAGAAAATATGCGGAGCGTATTCAAATGCAATAAAGAAACAAAAATCAAAGTAATTTCCAAGAAAAAAATATACCAGCCAGAATTTACACGAAATTCAAAGAAAAGAAGTATTTTGAATTAATGAACTAACCATTTCGAGCATTTGTAGATGACACTTTTTCGAGTGAATTGTAATCGCTGTATATATTCATCGGTAGCATTACCTTTCGGCACAGCGCCGGGATCAGTAAACATCGTTTTGATATGAGATGTGAATGCCAAGCATATCAGAATATGGAAAATAACAGCATGGAATGTTTGATGGATGACATTCTTAGACCAAGATGCCATCATTATTGTTAGAATGCAAAATTCTCCATAAAAAATGAGAAACCTACAAAAAAATACTAAATCCTAATATACGAAGGGTATGTAGAGATGAATAATAGAGTAAGCTCTTACTTTAGGCTTCTAATTCTTCGTCCGATCATAAAATCAAAAAGCAGGAATATTCTCTTCCAAAAAAAAAAAAAATGAATTGCACTAACAGTGAGACAAAGAAAAGTTACTGTAATCATACCAAAAAATTTAGCCAGCATTAACTAGTCGTTAAAAAATTACAAAATCTCTTGCATTTTTTAACACGTTTATTTCTTACTTTCAATTTTTTTCTAAGGAATAAATTTCATTTTTTTTTTCATCCATCATTTCTGCTAACTTTGAGCATCTTTATGGATTTTTAACTTGAATATCATACAAGTCATTGACCAAATTCACATAATAAATACTCTTATTATATCTCATTGTTTTAACCTTATCATCAATATATCCTGTTGCCTTCATAATAAATATGTCATGTCGGAGTCATCAATTTGTAGGAAAGGAATATTTTTCGTGATAGTTTTACAGAAACAGGGAATTCGTATAGAAGAGTAACTAAAGTTACCATTATAATAAAAATTCATGCTCGAAGTTAAAAAGGAAAGAGTAAGAAAAGACAACGAATTTTTTAGCATTGGAAAAAATTGACTAGCTCTAAATAATTTAGTGCAATTGGATAGCTCTAAATAATTTAGTGCAAAATTCATTGATTACACATACCACGTGAAGACAGCGCATGTCAAACCGCAAGTATCTCGTACACACCAAGAAAGACCGCAAAATCGTGTCTTATCATCCATTCTCTCCATATGCATCTTATCGGGCAAAAATGGCCAAAGCCATCGTTTGATTACCCGCTTCCCCAACTATGCAATAGTATTTCTGAAAACAATACGTGAGAATGCTAGGTTTATAAAAAAGTGATTACAAAAAAAGTGATTATCTTTATTTAGTATATTTAAATGATAAAATTATAAAATGATAAAATTATATACAAACGTTTAATAAGTGTATCAACGACTTCAACTTAAAAATCAATTTAACGCTGCTCTATCAAAATTTACAAAAAATAAAGTTTAATTTAAAATAAAATTGCCCAAAGTTAAACAACAACAAATAATCAATTTCTTTCCTTCCTAACAAAGTTATTCATTCTTAAGATAAGACTATTTTCTCTCTGTTCATAACATGATAACATTAAATTGCTCAGCATTCGAAAATTTTTGAAAAAACCATAAATTAGCTAGCAATAAACCAATGGCCTCTTGAAAATGAATGATTCATTATAAACAAAGAGAATTCAGTCAAGATCTACGAGATATTGCAGCTAGTTATTGAAAATTTAAATTTACATAAATATGTCAGAAAACTTGCATAACATTTCCTTTATAATGTTATATGTCGTACGCAAGATAGCATACCTTATCTCTATGTTATACGTTAACATCAATTTTCATACAAATTACACGTCATAAGCTAACCTCAATATTCTTTTCACATTAATTTACAGTTAAGAATAATGTGAATTTCAAAAACATCGTAAAATTTCGACAAAAATTGAAAAGTTGCTACTATTTGCAAGCAAATACAATTTTGTCCATATGTTACGTATGCAATTTTTTTTTCTTTGGAAATTCATAAATATGAAAAATAGAATCAACAAGAAAGACATATATGATAAATTTGTATACAACCGAGCAAGTAATTACCTATTACTAAACCCCACTTACTTATTCCCATTCATACCACCCTAATATTTGGCCCTCGTCTCTGTTTACTTGACTGACTCACAATGAAAATGGCTCGGCCATCGATCGCATAACAATCTTTCAAGGGGGTTTTTTTTAAATCTATTTTTCACCAATAAATAAATATGTGTTAATGGTATTGAGAATTAACATGCATGCGAAATGACTGAATTATTATTGAAATTGTAAATTGAAAGAAAATTGTGCATTATTGAAATTGTAAAATTGAATACCATTGAAATTGTAAATTGAAATAAAATTTTGAAAAACTAATTTAAATTCAAAACAAACGTGGATTGTGCATTTGAAAAGTTATCAATTTTTGCTAACATTTAATTGATGGTTTAGAAAAAAAAAACTGAGTTAAAATTGTAAATTTCTTATCTCTGTTAATTATGTGAGGAAAACGCAAAAAAGATGGTTTCAGAAAAAGAGTTTAATTGTTTAAAGAGTTTGATTGAAAAAAATTTTTAATTTTTAATGCTAACGAAAATGTATGTTAAAAAGGCAATTCGAACGAACAACGAAGTTGTTATATAATCACTTGCTAAAAATTAAATTTGAATTTAAAGAATGATGGAAAGAGACATGCCGATAAATGGTTCATATGATGCTGAAACCGACAATGGAAAACGCCAAGACATAGAACAAAAGAATGACTCTGAGTATGTATTTTCACTTCATTTATTTAATTTACAAGCTTCTCCTTATTATTTCAAGTTAAACTTTAATTTCAGATTCAGTCTTGTTTGATTTTCATAATTAGTTATTGAGATATTTCCTGTTTTTTTTGAGCCACTATTTTTAGCTCAGTGATCGTTCTGAAATCGTTGGAGAAACTTAGGATATGTTTTTGTGTTTAATTCTTCAGAGTCAATAAAAGATTCTGGAAAGCATATTTTTATTTATTATTCTGTTAAACAAATTGAAGCTCCCTCGACGCAGTTGTTTTCATCCATTTAAATTCAGAGGCAAGATTTATCGAAAATCGATCGGAAATCAAATCTGAAAATCACTCAACAGAAAATTAAATAAATTGAACATTACTGTTTTTCCATATTCTTTAATGGGGTTTAGGTTTAAATTTTGAACTCAATTTTTTGAAAGTGTATATAAATTCTTGTGGATGAAACATCATTGCATGCATAATTATTTGATTCATCAGTGAGGCAGCTGTTAAAGAGAGAAAAAAGGAGTAGGACAGGAATGAATTCGTGTAAGTAATGCAGTAATGTTTCTGTAAATTAAACGAACAGTTAGTTATATTTTGAAAACATAGAACAATATATTTCATCATATTTGAATTCCATTTGAACTTAAATTCGTCATGATAAAACAATGTCAGTTTTTGAATAATATTGATGGCTAACAAGTCATACTTCGAAAATATCGACGAAGCCGCTATTACGAATTAACCAGGTCAAACGATCCGACTGATCGGTATAGTAGCTATTAGACCAGACACACGAATTTACGATGTAAACATTTTCCAAATAATCATTAATCGCTATTTGCAAGACCGTCGAAAAATTAATTACATTAGAGAATGGCACTAACGGTATGAAGATGTGTAAAGTGATTGAAATCACACTGTCAGATGCTGTTAAGTAATATGATATAAACGATTAATGTTGTTTCTTTGATATATTATACTTCAGGATACCGGATGATCCATTGGTTACATTAAGTGAAGTTATTGAAGCACACGAAGAGCTTGAAGCAGAAGCTGAGGCTCTACTAGGAGGAGCTAATGCTAATGTTTGCACATATCCGGAGGTTATCTTTTAATACGTAAATTAAGTTGGAATGCTAGCTACATATTGTAAAGATTGGCTTCATTACCCAAACATTGCAGTAAATGATAAACTGTTAGCTTGCTGGTTGAAAGTTGATCTCAATTTCTCGAAGTACATTATGGTCAATGTTTACTGGATTTCTTTGAATTTATAATTTTGATGCTGCATAGAGATCCAATTTCTGGATTATCAAATGGTAAGCGGAAAAAAAAGATTATTCTTGTTGTTTTATTGGTTTCAAAATATTACAAATTCACGGAATTATAGGGTTATAAACCACGACAACCACTGTATTCTTGTCGTGATTGTACAAGTACCACAGGACCTGCCGCACTTTGCTATGCTTGCAGTGTCAATTGTCATGATGGTCATGAACTCGTTGAGTTGTACACAAAGAGGAACTTCTGCTGCGACTGTGGGAATTCTAAATTCAAAAATGCTTGCACACTATACAAAGTAATATCTGTGACATTATTATTTTATAAAAAAGGAAAAAAATCAATTTTCCGTGAAATGATCAAAAATTTGATTTAAATAGGCTTTTAGATCAATTCAATATTTACTTCACTTTCGTTGGAATTTCATATGTTCTGTGCAATACCTTATTTATCAGCGAAGTCTAATCTAAAGATCTCATCAACTGCGGAAATTATACATTTGAATAGTTTTAAAGCACAAAAAAAAGTTTTAAAGATTCAAACAAGGGTTACTATTTGTCTTTTAGCTAAGACTAGATACTCGGGGAACTAGTACATCAATCAGAAGTTTTATAAGCAGTTTGTAGTTTTACAATTCAAATTGTCACCACTTTGTCACTCATAGGTATATTATACAAAACTTTCATGATTTGTGATAAAATTCTGTATGTTTTAAGACCAATTAGTTTTGAAAATTTCTTTTATCGATAATGTATGAAATTTATCCTATTCTTTTCCAGGAAAAAAAGCCACTAAATGATCGAAATCAGTACAATCATAATTTTGATGGTCTCTACTGTACTTGCAATAGACCATATCCATGCGAAGAATACGCAGACTGCGAAATGCTACAATGCATTATATGCGAAGATTGGTTTCACTTGCAGGTATGAAATTCGTCTGATTTTCCTCGAACCATTCCAATTTAATCTACGCATTGTTTAAGCGCTGATAGATTATTATAGAGAAACTTATGTATGAGATAGGGATTAACATTATTTATGTTAGAAATATTATAAGATGAAAAAATAGAAAATTGTAATTTTTAAAACATTTTAATATCTTTTTTAAGGTCTTTTTTTCATGAGTTTTTGTAGCATTTGGAGGAAACACCGGATAGTGTTGATACAAGTGAAGTAGAGGAAGTCATTTGTCGAAATTGTGTCACGCGTTTTACGTTCCTTCTGTTCTACGCTGATGGGACATACAAAGAAATGTGTGCTGATAATAAATTATGTAAACTGAAATGGCTTGAAGCGAATGCTAAAACAGATAAAAACAGTCAGCCGTGTTCTCTATTTTTCAACTCTTATAAGTGGCGAAATCGTTTATGCCAATGTAACATTTGTTTGGTAGGTTTAATTAAATTTTGCTCAGATTTAAAATTACAAAAAGTTTATTGGGAGAAGCTGAAAATATCTTGTGGGGATGGATTTCGACTAGCTAATAATCGCTTTGTGCTTGAATTAACTTTATAGTAATATCTGTTATTTGTTGAAGTAATTTCTGTGAGTTTCAGTTTTTCAGTGACTCTTTATCCTGAGTATCATAAAGTGTTACCTAACAATTCAAATTATCATTCATCACATAATAGGTGAAATTGCTGATGTATTTTATTGTTCGGGATTCTGGATTATTTAGTACACTTTTTGCTTGAGTTACTTTAAAATCCAGTTTTTAATCATATGCTATTTTTAGAATTTTTACGAGGACAATAATCTCCAGTTCTTAACTGATGTAACAGATTGTTTACAAACATTTGTTGAATCGCACAGTAATAAAAGTAATGATAAACTGGAGGATGACGATCGAGTCATGACAAATGCATTAATTGATGTGGCAGGTCGTGAAGGGGCAATAACACTTTTTCAAGGTGCAAAAATTTTGTATAACTTTTAAATTTTAATATAATTTCATGGTTGATACCTTTGTTAAAATTTCTTTCTCAGGATATGAAGAAATGAAACAGAAGCTGGGAAATCACTTGAAACGATTAGCCGATGAGGGAAGAGAAGTAAAAAAAGAAGATATAGATCAATTTTTTGAAGAACTTGAAACGGAACGGAAACGGCGTCGTGAAGATATTCTGTCTCAGTTGTGAATTAATGCTCGAATCTATCAGTAATGGCGTGTTTCAATATTTAATTGATACCTCTTTTTTCTCATTTGAAAATATTCTCTTAATGATTGTAAAGTCTCAGGTAATTAAATTTGTGCATGAAAACATACATTAAATAAGAACTTGATGTCAAAATTTTATCTTAGGCTCTTTGAGCAAGTCATTAAAACTGAAAAATAACTATCATCAAACTGGTGGATCTTTTATCCTCGATGTTATGAATCTCATTATATATTGAGGTACTATCATTTTTAATTTGACTCACTATATTCTACCTTCCGTTTAATATCTTCCATTTGCGGTACTTATTGGTTGATTTTCCTAGAACAACATTTTAACAATATTACATCCCTAAACAATACTTCCTTGAATTAATTTATGCATTTTTTCTCTTAATGAGAAATTCTAATAAGTTCCAATTGTTCTGCACAGTTATGTGGCCGGTTAGATAAGTGGGAGTACAGTGGGATCAAACATTAAAACACACTGGCCTGAAAATTTGCAATAATCATTTTAGTAGTTTTGAATTTCCAAGGAATGGGAAAATATAAACTAAGTAATATAGACAATTGACCGAAAATGTTCAAGCACTTAAATATTAATACTGATATATTTGTACCTTACACAAACTCATTAGTAACAGTTACTTTTTCTTGTGTATCAGTTGACCTGAGAAAAGTAAGCTAATTCCCTCCTTCTAATCTTGTAGAAAAACAATTTCACTCTTTTATTTTCTTATTTTGTATGTTGATATTCTGCTCTGCACAATATTCTACTTCCTTGTTTTATATTCTATACTTTCATTGATCATTTTATACTTTCAGAGTGTAGTTTTTATGGCGAGTAGTTTCATTTGCCGTTTTATAATAGTGTCTTAACATTCATATATAAATGTTTCTTGCTCGCTATTGTTGAATAAAACGTTTCCAAATATTTCATGATTGTTCTATCTTCTGTCAGTAAATGATCAGAATCATTTTGATAAGATATTCAAAAATGGGTAGATTTTAATCTATTGTATTATTACTTTCTGACTGTATTAATAAACTTGAACTTCGTTGTGGAAACTATTGTTAAATTTGGAGTTAGGAATGACAGTAATTTTTAGAGGACAGAATTATAGATTATCGAAGAAGTAAAATGCAGCTGATTAAACTTTCAGTAAAAAATAGCTATGATCGACGTAGACTGTGTAATTGTTTGATTTTTGCATTATTCGTTTTTATTAGTAATTCAGACCCTTCCCGTATAACCTAATTAGATAATGCATTCATGACGTTGAGTGATAGTAATTTAAGTAGATTAAATGGGATTTGTCATTTTATCAAATTTATCAAAAATTGCAGGATTTTTTCTTGGCCAATGTCTTTTTTTACTGCAAACTTAATAATTAGTGCTGGAAATTTGTGTTGTTCAGATATGGAAAACAAGATTTAATAGTATTAGTCGAAAATGGCCAATAGGCAGAACACGATCTTATCGAGCAGTGGTCCTTTTAACAGACTGTTGTAAGTTTTCTTGGTATGCAAATTTAATAATTCAAGCATTGGTCTCTCGACAATTACTGTTTCTCTCATGTAATTGTGATGCAAATTTCAGTATTATCAATATTATTTAGGAATATAATTCAGTGAAGCTAACTGCTGCACTCTCTATGATGGAATTCTGACGCTGAGCAATATATTGAAGTACTTTAAAGCAACATTTCGGGACTACTTTTAGACATAGCACACTGTGCGGATTTTTCATAATCAACTTACAAACATTTCCTGACAATTCACGATTATTTTAATTCAATTAATAGACATATTTTACATTTTAGTGCTTTAAACCACGATGTAGGTAACCTAAGTTAATAAAAATGCACAGTTTCCATATTTCCTGTTATCGTGGATTGCTATTATTGTGGAGATGATGAAAGAAGCATTGTGAATGAGCTGATCATGAAATTGATTTTCGTAGAGGAAGTTGAGGTTAAATCGAAGAAGCAACTGAATCTTTGTTTATAGAATATGCACGTTAGCAGTGTTTCTTCGTGTTCTCGCATACATTTATTGCATCGACTTTCTGAAAAAACGTCCAGAATTGAATGTACCACAGAATTCATTCCGGAGGCTTATTGATGGGATATATATGCTTAGAGATGGCGTTTCTCCATACGATGGTGATATGATACATTGCGTACGTCTTTTCATATTAGTTAACACTTCATTAACCGATTAGTATTAGATAGGAATGAATTACTAATATTTGCAATAAACATCAAGATGTTATAATTTTATCCACTCAATAAAGGAATTCTTTTATTCACGTAAGGAAGCCTTTTATGTTGGCCATAGCAATTTTAAATTATTTCGAAAACTGCGAACAATTTGTTCTTCTTGCTTCAACTACTGATGGCATTGCCATACTTTGGACTTAGCTGTTCATTTGCCTTTCAAAAATGGTATTAGTGTTGATCTACTTATATTTAGCCAAATCATTAAATAGTCAGTATAGTTCGTATTACAATCTGCTGTTTAAATAGTAGCATTTCATTGGCTAATCTGAAGGCTCTTGGGTATTTGTATAAATGTTATCATTATCGCTCCCACATTACCATTTGGTATGTTCGCTTTGGCTTTTTATTAAATGGTGTTTGGCTAACAAATTGTTGAAATTAAATGAACAGTGATAAATGAATCATTTACTACTATATATAATTTACTAAAGAAATTCAAATTAGTGTAAAAATAAAAATCACCAATTTATTTTTAGCAACCGGTATTACTGTATTTATTCACTGCATTAATCGATCACCCGAACTTGTTGTTGATAATGTTTTTGGTATGAAACTTTATTTTATTATAATGAATTTAATATATCAGCACTAAATTAACGACTATTTTTGATCAGCATTTAAAGAATAACATGTAATATGAGTTATTAAACAATTCTGTGCAATAATTTTGTTGTCACTTAATGTATTTACATAACACTTAGACTGAATCAAGCATATTAGAATATTTTCTATTTATACGTAAAGTTATAATTCAGCGTAGTGAGTAAAATATACCTGTTATTTCTGAAAAATTATTTAAGTTGAAATTTTTTTCTCTAGTCGTTTGATGTAGTGACGAGTGAAATTTTACGTCTGGTAGCAGTAGTTCAGCTGAAAAATCAAGGTAGCAGTGCAGAGAATATTGAACGAATTGCTGATTTGGTTTCAAAATGGTGAGTGAAATTGATATTGTGTTCGAAAGCAAAACTGAAAAAATAAAGCTTTCTTTTTCGACTACTGGCATTCATAAGCCTTATTTTAAAATTCGGAAGTTTCTGTGAATATTCTACTTTTTGATACTTCTTTTCAGTTTTCTGCACTCATAAATTTCAGCTACATGCTAAATCCTGTTGCTGTTGCCAGCTGTGCTATTTTAAGTCTCTCAGTTGTTTGCAATCTTATTACTGCTCTTTTCATTCTGGCATTTGTAAAAGGTGGGTTAACTTTATGATTTTTTCGAGAATTGTTTCTTTCAATGGCATTATCAATCACTGTTTGATTGAAAATGAAGCTTGTTCTGTTCTCCGTGATGCGCGTTTCTTTTGCGCAGATTGGTAATAAAGTCATATCAAATTATATTGTAACGCATCATTACTTCATGTTATATAATATCGAGAGCGGCAAAAAGTAAGAACCACGGATATCAGTGTAAATCTTCGTCATTTTTACCAAGAAAGTATGTTTAAATAAGCAATAAAATTTTCAGGTTCTCTGTTGCTTTCTTCTATATTGTATAGTGTACTTGTGCACTTATCACTTTATCCAGCTGTTTACATATGCGCTTTATTGGTGAAATTCTCAACGCTTAAGGAACGTATGCTAACAATTACATTTTCGACAATTATGCTGATTGGATTGTTGTTTTTTAATCGCTTTTTGAATGAAAATAGTTGGGATTACATTGATTCAACATACAAATTCTTGTAAGTTCTAGTTTTTGTTATAGGATAGAAGCTAGAACATGAAGCTGGAATAGCATAAAAATGAAGAATTTTCATTAATGTTTTACTTTGTCTTATAGTTGACATTTTTTAGGTTGGATGTTCGTGACTTGACACCAAATGTTGGCATATTCTGGTATTTTTTCATTGAAGTTTTCAACCATTTTCGTCGTTTTTTTCTTTGGGTATTCCAAATCAATATCCTCGTTTATCTTGTACCATTATCATTGACATTAAGGTAACGTTTCTTACTAAAGTCAATAAAATGTATAATCTATTTTTACCTAAATTGTCGATTTGTGTGCATCTCAAAAAATGCTCAAGAGCGAAAAAAAACCTTAATTTGAAGGATGAGTTAAATCCTTTAATTTGTTATATATCATATCAAATCGAATCTGAGTTATATTTTCAATTTGTATTTATTACTATCGCAAATACTTTATTTCAGATCCAATGCTTTTCTACTTCTATATCAATTAATGATTCTCATTTCCGTCTTTGCATCGTATCCATCGATGGCTGAGAGTTTAATTTATTTGAGTTTGTTACCACTTTTCGAACATTTGAGAAAATGTTAGTTTTATAATCATTTATATTCTTATTCACTGTACGTGACTTTCATTTTTTTAAATTTCTGATGCATTTTTTAAAAAATATGAGAACGTGTTTGGGAATAGTATCATTTTTGAAATTCTGTTTAAAAATTTTCTGCTTGACATTTTATTAAAAATTAGTTCGGTTAGGTACTCATTTTTTCAACTATTTTTCACAGATTTTCGTTGGAAATTAATTATTGGTGGAGCATTATCAGCAACAATCGTCTTGGCACCAGTAATGTGGCAAATGTGGATTGTTACCGGTTCAGGAAATGCGAATTTCTACTTTGCCGTTACTTTAACTTATTCCGTTGCCCAAGTACTGATTAAACTTCATTTTTGCCACTTTTTGCAGAATATAGCAAAATTCTAATTAAGGCTAGGAATTAGTCGTCAGATTGATCTTTTTTTTTCAAAATCTCGCTGGGAGATGAATATTTGCTTCTTCATTTTATATAATTTCTCTCTTAATCCTTGCTTTTTCACAGATTTTCCTACTTACCGATCTTCTCTATGGTTACTTACGCCTGAAACTTGTCGAGGGCAGAGGAATAACTGATGAAAGCAAAATAGCAATTCTTGTGTTCAAGTAAATCACGCATTCAATGGCATTTCCATTACATTTTGTGATCAGTTTGCAATGCTGCTTTATTTCATGTATTTGCTTCGTGTTAATCTATAAGAAACATGTTTGTCTTTCATCTGTTGTTAAAAAATTTTCTTTTTCTCGATATTTTAGTAATAAAACATATGAAATTAGATGATGCAAGAAGATATGGCAGATCTTTTACCCCTCAAAGCCAGCATTTAATGTTATTGGGATAATTCATCTAATGCTTATACCATGCACAAAGTGTATTAAATCCACAAAATATAAATCTATCCTCAAATTGGTTTCAAATACCGGAAGTGTCAACATAGCAACAAAATATTTTGTCAATATTTATTTGATTGCTATACTTTTATTGATTCATTTTTAATAATTATTCAAATAAGGAAGAAATGTCATCATAATCAAAACAGATTTACTGATATCATATAATGAAAGATATGCTTATACATGCAAATATTAATACATAGTTTTCGTGCTCATTTTAACAAAAAAAGAATTTGGGATGAAATTTTGATTATATGGTACTAAATAATAATAATTTTTCTATGTTACGATTTTTATCAGTTCATTTCATATTACCAAAAACATATGCATCGTATTTGGTTTGTAGAAAAAAATGGAGCATGATATTTGTGTAATTTAAATTTTAATATTAATTAGGTTTAAAATGTAAAAATTGTTAAAATTGCAATAAACAAAAATGCATATTTCACTGTTTTGATTAGTTTAATTCAAATGCACTGAAATTAGTTAATTAGCTAGCCATTAAACTTCAACACACATTAAAGTAATAAATAATATACTTCTAAGCATCCATTTAATCAAAGTTTCCCTTTCGTTTAATTAATATTTTAATGGTTGAAATTATTATTTTTCAATTGACACGAACACTTCCTTTTTCCTTCCCCATTTTATCTTTACCTTTCTTTTTCATTTTTCAAGGTCATGTCATTTCTATGTTTTGACCTTACACCTTCAATAAAGCAATAAAAAAGGAGTCACTTTAAATTTTTGTTCGTTTTTTTCTTTTTCTGTGATTAATTAGTTGTTATTCATCAATTAAACGAGCAGTTGTATGTGAGTATAACCGGTGGAAGTAATAAATCAATTGGAAAGCAAATAAAACTTTCATAATTTTTTTGTCGTTATAATTGAAACAGGCATTCTTATATAAAAATTTATAAGTGACAACTCTTCCATCTTTTAAACATACTGTTTCTTTGTCAGTAATTTTGCTGATTCATTTCTTGATTCAAAAAAACTCAAGTTTTACACGCAAAATTGAAGATGATGCATGCGAAAAATAATATGAGGGATGAACGATGCATAAAATTACAATAATCAGTTAATTATAAAAATTAAAAAATGTTTTTCAATTTCCAATCATTTATT